TCTTGAAAAGAGCAGTTTCTGTCAGAGCTCTCTCCGCGCCGCCTACCTCACAGGGTGTCTGTTGTGGGGAGGGGAAGGGAAAGGAGTTTGTAAGCTGCTCTGAGACTCCTTTGGGTACTGAAAAGCGGAGTATAAATCCAATCTCCTCCTCCTCCCCCTCCTCCTCTTCCTCCTTCATGCAGTAGCCAAGTCGCTTGCTCACAACTTTAATGCCAGTAGCTCACAAAGTAGAATTTTTGCTCAAAAGACTCTAGAGCAGTGGTGGCGAACCTATGGCATGGGTGCCAGAGGTGGCACTCAGAGCCCTCTCTGTGGGCATGTGTGCCATCGCCCCAGCCAGGCCCAGACCACCATTAAAGTGTCGAATTCTCTGCCAAATAATTTTAAGTAAATGAAAGCATTTGGGATTGCTTTCCTTACTTTGTTTGGATCATCTTAAGTTAATGTATGAGTTGTTTTTTTCTAAAGTAAAACCTCAGTATTCAGGTTTAATTGCCGTGTTGGCACTTTGCGATAAATGAGTGGGTTTGGGGTCGCAGTTTGGGTACATGGTCTCTGAAAGGTTCACCATCACTGCTCTAGAGCTTAGAGGGAGCATTGGCAGGGATCTGCCCAACTGGATGGGCAAAGTTGGTCACTGCTTATTGACTCGGTGTATATTCTCCAAGCCCTAACTTGGATCGCCCAGCCTAGCCTGATCTCATCAGATCTCAGAAGCTAAGCAGGGCCAACCCGGGTTGGGAATTAGATGGGAGACTAACGAGGAAGTCCAGGGTTGCTATGCAGAGGCAGGCCATGGCAAACCGCCTCTATTCATCTCTTGCCTTGGAAACCCTACAGGGTGGCCGTGCCGTCGGCTGCAACTGATGGCACCTCCCCCCCCCCTGTCAGCACATTAGGTGCTGTTTCGCTTATTTTGCATAATTTATGCTGCAGTTTTGATTGCTTTTCATAATTTATTCCGCTTTTGCTAATCACAAGGCAGGGAAAGGAACTTGGCAGGCAGAGCGCTGCGTCGCTGCCTTCTGGAGTCTTGTTCAGGCACTTTTCTGGCTTCCTGTGCCTTTTGCCAGCTGTTGACCAACACACTGTCAGTTATTCCTTTGTAATCATAAGGGCTAGAAACATTGATTTTTTAAAAAAAGCTGATGTTCTTAAGGAGCTGAATCGTGCAGCTTTCCTGTGCTTCTGGGGAACTGCGGCATAATGAACTGCTTGTAATATATCTTTTGGTGTAAGAGTTTCCAGTAAGGCTGGATTTCCTATGCAGGTTTTTAAAAAAACAACAGTAGCCTTTAGATCTTTTTTTTTTAGAAGGGAATCTTCCTCTGCCCCCAACTTTGGTGTAATGGTTAAGAGTGGTGGACTCTAATCGGGGAGAACCAGGCTTGATTCCCCATTCCTCCATATGCAGCTACTGGTGTGACCTTGGGTCAGTCACAAGTTCTCTCAGAGCTGTTCTCTCAAGGACAGTTCTGGAAAGAGCTCTCTCTCAGCCCCACCTACCTGACAGGGTGTCTGTTGTGGGGAGAGGAAGGGAAGGAGATTGTAAGCCGCTCTGAGATTCTGAGTGGAGGGCGGGGTACAAATCCAATTTCTTCTTCTTCTGTCGAGTGTTGAAGGTAGTTGAGCAAAATCCAGAAAGTGGAGAGGGCTGGGGAAGTTGGCCTGTTCAGTTAAGTCCTAATCTCAGAGGAGATTAGGGTCAAGGGATGGATGACGCGAGAATGCATGCCCCCGACTCCAGTCCTCTCTTCTGGCCCATAGTCCTTCGAAGGGCCCTGACCTCTTTGAAGCCACAACCGTTCCCATGGAAGGACCAGTTAGGGTGGGAGTAACAGTTCTTCCTCTGTGCCTAATTCATTGCATCCCCTTGCAAGGGCTGTTCGAGTTGCGAAGAAGGCAGAATGCTGAACTGGGGTGTGAAATTAAGGGGCAGGATGTTGAGACTCTCAATGAGTCTCCAAAACTTCACAGGACGGGAGAAATAAAAAATCCCACCTCCTGTGTTGTGTGGCTCTGTAATGTAGCAGGTACAGGCAGGGGAGCCAGGCATGTTCAGGTTCTCACACAAAGTTCAGTCCCAGAAGTCCACAAGCCAGAGGGGTCATTACCACAAGGGGTGAAGCAGAGAGCGTAGTCAGGACGTCCAAGGGTCATCCACAAGCCAGAGAGTCACAGAGTCCCAAGCCAAGTCCAAGGTCACACGAAGAAAGCAGGGTCAGGGATTTTGGTCGCAGAGTCCAGCAGAATGACTTGTTGCTGCCACCGTCTGCAGGCTCCCAGCCCTGGGTTTTATAGGCACTTCTAACAAGCCCTTGTTAGCAGCCAGCTGCTTGGGAGTCCTGCTGCAACTACTCCCGGCTGTCATCAGCAAGTAGCTGGGCAAGACGGGCCAGGAGACGTGCACTTTGCCTCCTTGCTTGCAGCTCCCTTCTCAGCTTCTGTCTCCGGCACTCAAAGGGTGGAGGTGAGCCTGATGGACTGGTCTGAATCAACTGAGACTCACCTGCTGCATCAGAGAGGGGCGATGGCCCCGGATCAGCGGTTGGTGGTGAGTCTTGGTCAGTCTGCAGCTCCTCAGCCTCTTTGCTGGCTTCTGCCGACTCGGAGCCAGCCGTGCGTGGCTCCCCTTCCCCTGAGGACTCTGTGCTGAGCTCAGGCTGACCCACGACAGGCTCAGGGCTAGACGAGCAGTTTGGGGCACACGTCACCCTAAACATCAGTATATCTCTTGCAGCCACTCCCCAGCCCGAATTTGTTCTTTTATTATCAGGCTTCTAGGTTTTGTGACTTTTGGGGTTTTGCCTTGCGTTTGTCCTTTTTGGAGGGGTTGCCGGATTTTGCCAGCGTTCTGGGATGTCATCCAGAGAACCTCCCTCTCTTCCTCTTCTTCCTCCTCGCTCTCCGACAGAGCCCTCCCATCTTAACGCAAGGGAGCTTTTAAAAAGCAGCTGCCCACGACCCAGAATGGCCGTCCGTGACGGATCGGTGGCTATCTGAATGATCCCATTTGTCTGTTAGCGGACTGGCGGGCCTAGACTAGGGAGGGGGGGCCACCCTCTGTGGCTAATGTTCCCGTTTTTAGACGAGGACTCTTTATTTTATGGAAGGCTCAGTCCGTGAAAGGATTTAATTATGCCAGGGATTTGGGCAGGCCGTTTGGCAAATGGAACACACATGGAAAAGATGTAAAGTCATGCGCGTTATGGAAGGAGATCCCAGCACGATAATCCCAAACCACTTCCCCCCCCTCCCCAAGTGCGTTCTGAATGGAGCATGAAAGCTTTGGCCGCCCCTTTGATTGGTGCACGAAATTATACAAACCTCCTGCCGGGGGAAAGACCAAGACAATGAATGAGCATCCAAATGTGTTTCTCGCCCTGACCTAGATAGCCCAGGCTAGCCCAGGCGTGTCAGATCTTGGATGCTAAGTAGGTTTGGCCCCGGTCAGTATTTGGAAGGGAGACCAACAGGGAAGTCCAGGGTTGCTACGCAGAGGCAGGCAATGGCCAACCACCCCTGAATGTCTTTTGCCTTGAAAACCCCAGCGGGGAGAGGTCGTCATGTCAGCTGTGACTTGATAACTTGGGGTTGGGGTTTTTTTGCTAATTTTCTTGTCCTCGTTGTTACTAAGAAGTCTGGAATGTAGTCTGTTTTCCTTATGAACCCATAAATCAGAATATAAAACTTGACAATAATCCTCTTTTTTCAATAGACAGAGAGCGATTTTTTAGCTAAAGAATCGGCTGTCCGAGATCCTTTTAATCAGGAGATGCCCTGGGTCAAAATTGGGACCTTCTGTGGGCATGATAGAAAGGGCGATAAAATTATGCATGGGGTGGTGGAGAGAGCGGACCAAGATAAATTTTTCTCCCTCTCTCAAAATACTAGAACTCGAGGGCATCCGGTGAAGCTGACGGGCAGTAGGTTCAAGATGGACAAAAGGAAGTACTACTTTACACAGAGAGTGGTTAAAATGTGGGGTTCTCTTCCAGAGGATGTAGCAATGGCCTCAGGAACAAACGGCTTTAAAAGGGGATTTGATAGATTGATGGAGAATAAGTCTCAGTGGTGACTAGCCAGAGTGACTATGGGGAACCTCCACGTTCAGAGGCACTAAGCCTCTGATTCCCAGAGCCAGGAGGCGACATCAGGGGAAGGCAGGTTGCTGGATGAGATGGAACACTGGTCTGATCCAGCACAGCTCTTCTTATAGTCTTATGAAGGCCTCATCCTCTATGCCCTGTTGGCCCTCCAGAGGAGCTGGTCAGCCCCTGTGTGAGACGGGATGCTGGACTGGATGGACCACTGCTCTGATCCAGCAGGGCTCTTCTGATCTTATCAGGGGGACGCATTGGCCTCTCTGCCCTGCTATTGGCCCTTCAGAGGAACTGGTTGGCCATTGTGTGTGGCAGGAGGCTGGACTAGATGGACCCTCACTGGCCTGATCCAGCAGGGCTCTTCTGATGTTCCCTGTTCCCTCGCACACACTTTCTCTGAGTGGTTATTCTGAGTGACACCTAGTTTCTACGCTTTTCCTATTCGCCCCTATGCCATAAAAAGTTTTTCTATGTTGAAAGTCTCTCTCTCTCCCCAGGTTTTTGAAAATTATTAATTATGTTTTTGTCCTGCCTCCCTCTGAGGCTTTGTCCTGGTTCCCCATTCCAACCGATCCCTGTAAGGTACTTTAAAGAGCCAGGCTGCCCCCCGGGTAGCTTTGCGGCCAAGCAGGAGATTTGGGGGAGGGAAGGCATCGTGGTGTAGCCCGATCAGTCCGATCTCGGAAGCTCAGCAGGGTCGGCACTCGGAAGGGAGGCCACCAAGGAAGGCTCTGCAGAGGAAGGTGTTGGAGTTTTTATAAAGTTCAGCAGAGTTAAAAATCACCTTAGTGATGCCAGAGTTCAATAATCAGATGAAGGCCAGGGCCAACCCCCTCTGCTTCTCACCGGCCTTGCCAGCCCCTTGCTGGGGTCGCCTGAAGTCAGCTGCGGCTTGACGGCCCTTCATACTCACCCACGGGGGATTTTGATTTGGGTCATCCTGATCTTGCGCACGCTGAGCAAGAAGACTAAAGGATGTCTGCAGTGTCACGCTTTACTTTTTGTGCTGTTGCCGCCACAGGGGATTTGCTTGCCGAAACCCACTTTTTGCTTCGCATTGTTCACTCCTCTCCTCGCTCACTTGCAGCTAGAAGAACTGAACTTCCCTGAGATCAAGCGGAAGAAACCAGGCGAGCAAAAAGAGGATGACAAGAAGGAGTTCAAGGACCTCTTCGAGCTGGACAGTGACTCGGACGAGGAGGAGGCCGGCAGCTTCTCTGTCAAAGGTACGCAGTCCAGCTGGGTTGGTTCGGGGGTCCGAAGGAACGATGGAGTGTGTTAAGGGGAGAAAGGTGTAATTTGCTCATTGACCACTAGGGGTCTGCAGTTAATTGCCAGATCTACAAATTCTGGGTTTCCCAGGAAGAGAAATTACTTTGGACGGTGGTGGGAAACTTCCCTTGTACGTTCCGGCTGTTTTCATCTCTCTCGATCACAAAATAATTTTGTAGAAGAGAAATATCCATTTTATTTGTGGTCCCACTGGGTGCTCTCTCTCTGTGTGTGTATTTTAAACTTTAGGGTAGCAAACCATTTTGAGAATTGGTTTTGACAGAAAAGGTTCGTCTTAAATACAGAATTGCAGAGAGGGGGAAAAACAAAAAGATATATATTTTGGTATGCCTGTTGTTTTTAAACAATGGCTGTTAGACACTCCAGCTGAGCCGTTTGACAAATTTCAGATGGGCACATGGAGTCCAAAAGCTGCTCAAGGTGGCTTACGTATATAGATTTAAAAGGATACATAAAATAAATTAAAAACCCAGAATTTAAATTAACTGTTCAGGACTGCTAGTAACTAAATCAAATACGGTCCTGAGTAAAACCATCTTCAGCTGCTTCCTAAAGATTGCAAGTGAGGGGGCCAGGCGTGCCTCCCTGGGGAGTTTTTTCCAGAATCGTGGGGCTGCCACTGAAAAGTCCCTGTCTCGTATATCCACTAAATGAGCTTCTTTGATTGACGGGACAGTCAAGAGGGCCTTTCCCTGTTAACTTCCAGGCAGGAACATATGGGAGGTCCTTTAGACCCCTGGCACTGAAAGGATCTTGCGCAGCAAGGGTTAGGGTCTCCTCCTCTGCGAGGGGACGTGGAAAGCTGTTGCCTATCAGAGTAGACACTACTGATCTATGTTGACCATTGGTCTGACTTGAGTGTAAGGCAGCTTCTTCACATGTTGAATAGCAAGGGACCGATATCTTTCCCCCACGACTTTTGTAGCTGTTATGACTGACCAGTGAAGACATTATTTATGGTGATAATCCCGAGGTGTCTCATTGCCTGTGCAGGGTTCTTAAATGAGATGCACAGTCACTCAGCACTGTGCAGCCGAGCTTGCAGGCGTTCTCGGACTCTGCAGCCTACCCTGTACAAGTCAGACATTGCTAGCGAGCGCCGAATTCAGCAGCAGGAGCACCTTGGCAGCAAAAATACATATCTTATGAATGGTCAGGCGTTAACTTGAAAGTGTGCAATTTCAGACCTTGGAGGGGGATGAATAAGGCGGACCAGCAATGCTGTACACAGCCCTGTGTTCAACACCTGTGACTGTGGCAGCATTCACACATGTTCTGTAATCTATGCCAAATGCCGTTTTTTAAATTTACTTTTCTTAGTATGGAATTTCAGTCGGGTATTTTGTTTGTGGGAGGGAAGGTGGCATGGTATAGTCAGATCTTGTAAGATCTCAGTCGCTAAGCCGGTTCGGTATTTGGATGGGAGACCACTGAGAAAGACTCTGCAGAGGAAAGCCGTGGCAAACCACCTCTGCTTCTCACTCGCCCGGAAAGCCCATTTCTAGGGCTGCTATAAGTGGGTTGTAACTTGGTGGCGCAGACATATTTTGATTGCTTTTTTTCAAAAAAAAATGGCAGCCTGGCGTGCGAAACTGTCCTTCCTTCCTTCATGGCTTCCAGTTGTGTTTCCCTCCTTCCATTCCATTCCTCTCTGCTGCATTCTCTCCCCCTTAAAAGAAAGCTTTTATGTTCTTCAAAAAACCATAATGACAAATCAGGCACGGATTAGCTAGCTGGAACCTCTTTGTGCAGAAACTCTGTGCCAGATACTGGGTAGGACAGGCAACCGGGGGGGGGGGGCTATTACATCCCTGCGGGCAACTTCCGAGGGTCACCTGGCTGGTGGGTATAGGAAACCGGATGCTGAGGGCAGATAGTCTTCCAGACTGATCCAGCAAGGCAGATTTTATGTTCACCGCACGTGCGTCTTCCAGTATGCAATTCTGGATTCCCCCCCCACACACACACACACACTTTGGCGCAACAGATACAGCCAACCTTTCTTGTAGCGCTGGGGGGTGGAGGGGGGAGAGGAAAGCAACGCGGAGTGCTATATCGATTTTGATCTGCTTGCTTTGCGGCCTCCGCAGTCAGCACTCCCCCCCCATTCGAGTCGAGCGCAGCTGCTGCTTTGGAAGAGGCAGGAGCCCTGCTGGTTGTCTCCCCTCCCCCAAACGCGGTGATGGGGCAGCGGGTCGTTGCAGGGAACGGTGCTCGGGCACCCCTGGAGAGGCGATCGGGACACGCATGGCTGAGCCAGTGAGGCCGCATGCTTTTCGGAAGCTGCCAAGCCGACGACACCGTCCTCCCCGAGAGGAGAGAGGCGGGGGGACTCCTGTCGGTACGAGGCAGGCGGGCGATGCAAAACGAAGTGACACATTTTGGAGCCTGGCGAGCCTCCCTCGGCGGAAGAACAGCGGGAGCTGTCACAGCTGGAAACTGCTCGCTCCCTCGCTCCTCTTCTCTGCCAGGCGTGCTGGAGCCGGCAACGTGCACGGGGCAGGGAGAAAGCGGCCAAGCGCCTGCAGCGTGCTCGCTTCGGAAGTGGGGAGGCGGGAGGAGCGTTCCAGCCCTTCTTCTGATGCTCCAGGCGCGCCCCCCCCCAACTCGCCCGACTTGTGGTTTGTTTGCACGTTCTAAAGGACTAGAACCTTGACTGTGGAACAAAACAGGAAGGCACCGTGAGCAGTTCTCTAGAGAGGTGGCATAAAAATTTCCTCAATAAATGAGCACACAAGGGATTATGTTTCCCAGCAGAACCCGTGAGCTTCACAGTGTGTCTTGAGACCCCCCTCGCTAACAAGAATTCAGGCCTTAGAGTGTTGGTACCAGACTGATATTCCTTATTCCCCCACCCCACAGTGTCAGAGCAGCTAATAATCGTGGCTCGTCTCTGTAGTCTGGAGTTTGACTCACTGCCTTGAGCCATCTGGTGGTGTTTGCTCCCCAGGCGGCTTTTCTGTAGTGCAGTTTCTCTCTGTTGTGAGAATTTGAATCGTGGGCGGACCCTTGAACTGCCTTTTCCTCATCGTCCCATTGCATTGCAATCACCCAAAACTACCCAGGCGGCTTTTCTGTAGTGCAGTTTCTGTCTGTTGTGAGGGTGCTGAGTGACATTTGAATCGTGGGCAGATCCTTGAACTGCTTTTTCCCCATCGTCCCATTGCGATCACCCAAAACTGCCTTCTTAGGGGTTCACCAAGCTTGGACACTTTGAGTCTTCCTCATGGATTTCCTTCCTCTGGGATGCAAGAAAGCCCAGATGTTATGCTTTGAGAGATCTGTTGGTACAGTGGTATAGTTTGGTGTAGTGGTTAAATGCCAGGTTTGATTCCCCACTCCCCCCCCACATGCAGCTGCTGGTGTGACCTTGGGTCAGTCACAAGTTCTATCAGAGCTGTTCTCTCAAGGGCAGTTGTCTCAGAGCTCTCTCGGCCCTACCTACCTCACAGGGTGTCTGTTGTGGGGAGGGGAAATGAGTTTGTAAGCTACTCTGAGACTCCGAGCGAAGGGCAGGGTATAAATCCAATCTCTTCTTCTCTCTCTCTTCTTCTTTAATTAGGCTCTGATGTGCCTATATTGTCCACCGATGCTGAGGCTGCCTGCCGTGTCTCTGCATGATTCAGTCAGTGCCTCAGTTGAACTCCATTTGGGAAGGTGCTTCTCTGCCCTGGGCGGAAGTAGATCATTCAGTCACTCCTGACTCTTGTAAAAGTACCCCTCCCAAGTGAAGGCAGCCCATTTCTCTTTTTGAGTCTCTGTTCTGGGCTTGTCTCTTTCCAACCAGGAGGCTCAGCCGGATCAGAGATTCGTGTAAAAATGCAGAGAGCCTTCTCTGAAGGGTCAGGGCGAGGCATTCTTCTTCTTGCTGTTAAAAGGAAAGCTTTCTCGGTAGAAGAGTGAATTGTGCCTTTGGATTTTATTTAAGGGGGGGGGAAATAGCGTGGCTTCATCTTCAGAAGTTTGGGGGGTGCCACCCTAGCCTGACTGTTTTCTTCTTCTTTTTTTCCTGGAAGGGGTGCAAACTCTGGTTGGGTAATGCATTTGTACATAAGCTAAAAGGGGCGGGGGGAGAGTCAAACTTCTTGTGTTGGTTTTCCTCCTTCTGTGAAGAAACTGGGATGTCGTTTATCTTCTCCTTCATGCTTTTCTCGCCCAAATTGCCTCCCAGAGCAACTTTGTGGAATACAAAGGTAACAGGAATGGCAGCTGAACCTCAGCAGAAGCCGGGTCCAGGCGTAATGGAGGGGGAGGGAGATCTACTTGGGGGAGGGAGATCCAAACACCAGGGACAGGAGGGGAAGGGGGGCAGAGAAGGTGGGGGAGGGACACCGAGGCGTGGGCGACAGAGGAAGGCTGCTGGTCTAGGGCCATCCTTGCACGGTAATTGAAAGCAACCAACGGACTCGTCTTAAGACTGGTTGTCTTCGGTCTCTGTCAGTAAACCGGGTAATGCCATAGCGGGCCGTCCCCTTCCCCATTTGACGGAGTGTACCTCCCGTTTACGGCTCAGCTTTGGTTCCGTGCCTGTGTTCAGATGAGTGGAAAATAAGCTGTTAATAGCTAGGAAATTACCAATTTTCAGTTAATTAGCAGCAGCTCACAGCCCCTCTCCCCTTTTTTTAATTAAATATTGCCGTAGTTAAGCACTCATTAGCGTTTTATAGCTTCCATAATCTCCGTGGAATAAGTTTGTCTCGGGAATAGGCTGGCTCCTGGTGGTTAACTGTTGCGAACTTGGAACGCCGGGGCCTGTTGCCTTCTGGGTGTTATAGGGTTACGGCCAAGGGGCCCTGTCCCCACACGTCTTTTTTCCTTGGTTGCGGTGGAAGCCTTTGGATGCTTTCGCCGTATGGCTTTCTCGGAAACTGTTGGCCTTTAGAAACCTGCGAGGGGTTGAGCCAGGCCTTCGACACCCTCCAAACAAGAGTAG